ACAGAGAGCTGTGTTTTCTCCTACAAGAAATGTGAAGTTTCCTGAGATAAATGTGCAACATTTCAGGAAGCTTTTTTTATGACAGTAGTGTATAGAAGAGAGAGAAGAGTCAGTTAAATTTTAGCAGTAATCTGGGTAGCTAGGATGGAAGCCAACTTGGGTAGGGATACTGTCACTGGAAAATAATCAAAGGATGTCGTGCCAACAGGGGAGGGGGGACCACTAGTAATTCCAAGGTTTCAAGCTTATGTGCCTGTGCCAGTCATGGTCCCACTGACAACAGCACAGCCAAAGGGAAAGCAGGTTTCTGTTTGAAGGAGCAGGGCCAGCAAGCAAGAATGGACACATGAAGGGGAAGCTTCATTCTTCAACTCCTCTGGCACCAACTATGCAGAAAACCATAGGCTTTCTCCTATTGTTCTCTTGCTCAATGGCGGGGGGGGGGGGAAAGGATTAGTATTCTAAACTTGTTATTGATCGTACTACATGACTCCACAATGATTTATCAGTATTCACCCTAAAGAAATTTCTCTTGAGAACACTCATTTCGAAGTACAAAAGGAGATCTAGCTTAAAGCGTCAGAATCATCAGCCTCTTACTCAAGTCTTGAGGCAAGATCCATAAAACACAATTACCTCCACCTCTCAGCCGCCAAGCTGAAGCCGTCTGACCTCTAGGCCTCATCGCAGACTCATTACAGTCCTCGCCTCGAGGACACTGGGGAAAACTTTAAACATACATCCTTTTCCTTCCCCACTGACCCCCATGCCCACAAGCCTTGCGACTTTGTTACCTTTGAGGTTAACAGTATGTCATATGTTTGTTTCACTCAAAGAATGACCACTGAGTTATTTCCTGATATGTAACGTTTAGTACAATCAGACATTGAAAACGCCTAGTTTAAACCGCAGCAGGAAGATGTTCATAGTATGCAGGACAACTGACCTCTTCTTAGAACATCAAACGAGCTGACGTCGGTAAGGGGAGGCAACACAGCAAAGGGATAAAGTGCAGAGGGTCAAGCAGACTGCCCAAGTTGGAAACTCCCACTACTTAAACTTTGCCAAGTTACCCTCTCTGCACCTCAATTTTTTGATCTGTAAAATGGAGGTGATAGGGGCCGGCCCTGTGGCGAGTGGTTAAGTTCACAGGCTCTGCTTCAGCTGCCCAGGTTTTTTCCGGTTCGGATCCTGGGTGCAGACATGGCACTGCTCATCCAGCCATGCTGAGGGAGCCTCTCACATAGCACAACCAGAAGGACCTACAACTAGAAGATACAACTATGTACCAGGGGGCTTTGGGGAGAAGAAGGAGAAAAAAAAAAAAGATTGGCAACCGATGTTAGCTCTGGTGCCAATCTTTAGAAAAATCAAATGGAGATGATAACGCCTGTTCTGCAGGCCACAGTGCTTTGCCGGAGTCCACTGTTAGGTGCAATTCTTCTTGTACCTTAACATTCAGCTCTAGGCTATCCTGTTACCACAGTTAATTTCTTACTTACTAATGGACCTTTTATATTGCTCTAGATCAAGCAGGTAGGGGTAGGCAAACTTTTTCTGCAAAGGGCAAGACAGTACTATTTTTGGCCTTGCTGGCCACATGGTCTCTGCTGCAACTACTCAACTCTGCTATTGTAGCACGAAAGCAGCCAGAGATAACATGCAAACAAATGAGCATGGCAGCTGCGTTCCAACGAAACTTTTATTTATAGAAACAAATTGGATAATCATATACTCTTCACATTACCAAATATTATTCTTTTGATTTTTTTCAACCATTTAAAAATGTAAAGACTATACTTATTTGTACGCCATACAAAAACAGGTGGTGGGCCAGATTCGGCCCCTGGGTGGTTGCATGACAACTTCTGCTCTAGATTAACAAGTCCAAGGGCTTTGGAAAGTTTGTGGAGGCAGGGCGATTTGAAAAACAGGCACACCTGGGAGATTCTGCAGGCTCGGTTCCAGATCACTGCGGTAAAACGAATATCGCAATAAAGCAAGTCACATGAACTTTTTGGTCTCCCAGTGCTTATAAAAGTGATGTTTACATTATACTGTAGTCTATCAAGTGTGCAATAGCATTATGTCTAAAAAGCAATGTACATACCTTAATTAAAAAATACTTTATTGACAAAAATGCAAATCATCTGAGCCTTCAACAAATCGTAATCTTTTTGCTGGTGGAGGGTCTTGCCTTGATATTGATGGCTGCTGACTGATCAGGGTGGTGGCTGCTGAAGGCTGGGGTGGCTGTGGCAATTTTTAAAAATAAGACAACAATGAAGTTTGCCAGATGGATTGACTTGTCCTTTCACAACATCTCTGTAGCACGCGATGCTGTTTGATAACATTTTACCCACAGTAGAACTTATTTCGAAATTGGAATTAATCCTCTGAAACCCTGCTGCTGCTTTATCAACTCAGCTTATGTAATATTCTAAACCCTGTGTTGTCACTTCAACAGTCTTCACAGCATCTTCACCAGAAGTAGATTCCATCTCAAGGAACTGCTTTCTTTGCTCATCCATATGAAGCAACTCCTCATCCGTTAAAGTTTTATCATGAGATTGCAGTAATTCAGTGACATCTCCAGGCTCCACTTCTAATTCTAGTTCTCTTGCTTTTTCCACATCTGTAGTTACTTGCATCACTGAAATCTTGAACCCCACAGTCATCCATGAGGGTTGGAATCCACTTCTTCCAAATTCCTGTTAATATTTTGACCTCTTCCATGAATGGTGAATGTTCTTTTTTTTTTTTTTTTTGGAGAGGAATATTGGCCCTGAGCTAACACGTGTTGCCAATCTTCCTCTTTTTGCTTGAGGAAGATTGTCCCTGAGCTAACACCTGTGTCAATCTTCCTCTATTTTATATGTGGGACACTGCCACAGCATGGCCTGATGAGTGGTGTGTAGGTCTGTGCCCAGGATCCAAACCTACAAACCTTGGGCTGCAAAGTGAAGCATGCAAACTTAACCACTATACCACTGGGCTGGCCCCTTGTGAATGTTCTTAAAATGGCGTCTAGAATGGTGAATCCTTCCCAGGTTTTCAATTTACTTTGCCCAGATCCATCAGAGGAATTGCTGTCTAAGGCAGTTATAGCCTTGTGAAATGTATTTATTAAATCATGACTTCAAAGTTGAAATTACTCCTTGATCCATAAGTTGCAGAATGGATGTCATGATAGCAGACATGAAAACAACATTCATCTCATTGTACGTCTCCATCAGAGCTCTTGCTGACCAGGCACATTGTCAATGAGCAGTAATATTCTGAATCTCTTTTTCTGAGCAGTAGTTCTCAACAGAGGGTTTAAAATATTCAGAAGGCCATGTTACAAACCTGTCATTCAGGCTTTGTTGTTCCACTCACAGAGCACCAGCAGAGTAGATTTAGCCTAATTCTTAGGGGCCTTAGTACTTTCAAAATGGTAAATGAGCATTGGCTTCAACTTAAAGTCATCAGCTGCATTAGCCCCTAACAAAAGTCAGCCTGTCCCTTGAAGCTTTGAAGCCAGGCACTGACTTCTCCTCTATAGTTATGGAAGTCCTAGATGGCATCTTCTTCCAATATAAGGCTGTTTTGTCTACACTGAAGATATGCTGTTTGGGGTAGCCACCTTCACTAATTACCTTAGCTAGACCTTCTGGATAACTTGCTGCAGCTTCTCCATCAGCACTTGCTGCCTCACCCTGCACTTTTATGTTACGGAGATAGCTTCTTTCCTTAAACCTCATAAAGCAACCTCTGCCAGCTCCAAACTTTTCTTCTGCAGCTTCCTCACCTCTCAGCTTTTACAGAATTGAAGAGTTGGGGCTTTGCTCTGGATGAGGTTTTGGCTTAAGGGAATGTTGTGGTTGGTTTATCTTCTATCCAGACGACTAAAACTTTCTCCATATCAGCAATAAGGCTGTTTCACTTCCTTATCATTCTTGTGTTCACTCAAGTAGCACTTTCAATTTCCTTCAGGAGCTTTTCCTTTGCAGTCACAACTTAGCTAACTGCTTGGCACAAGAGGCCTAGCTGTTGGCCTATCTCAGCTTTCAACATGCCTTCCTCACTAAGCTTAATCATTGCTAGCTTTTGGGTTAAAGTGAGAGACGTGCAACTCTTCCTCTCACCTGAACAGTTAAAGGCCACTGTAGGGTTGTCATTCAGCCTAATTTCAATATTCTTGTGTCTCAGGGAATAGGGAGGCCAGGGCAGAGGGAGAGAGACAGGGGAATAACTGATCAGTGGGGCAGTCAGAATACACACAATATTTACTAAGATCGCTGTCTTATATGGGCGTGGCTAGTGGTGTCCCAAAATACTACCATAGTAACATCAAAGGTCACTGATCCCAGATCACCATAACAATGAAAAAGTTTGAAATATTGCAAGAATTACCAAAATGTGACATACAGACACAAAGTAAGCAAGTGCTGTTGGAAAAATGGTGTGAAAAACTTGCTCGAGGCAAGATTGCCAGAAACCTTCAATTTGTAAAAAATGCAGTAGCTGCAAAATGCAATAAGCAAAGTGCAATAAGACAGGTTCATGGTGCAGAAGAAAGAGAAAACTTCTAAGTAGAATAGAAAAAAGGATATTTAATGCTGTCGTTCACTTATTAACACAGGACTCAACTAAATGCAGAACATTTTTGGAAGCACACACTGTTGGAATCAAAGATGTAGAAGTCACAGTCCCTGCTGTCAAGCTTATACTCCACAGCAGCTTAGAAACTGAAAGTCTCCCTTCCAAATACAACAGATCCTATCAGGCTTTTGTGTGCACACAGGCATCCTCACAGAAGAGGCAGGTGGTTTATTTGGTGATCCCACCTGTAGCCTACACCAAACGTGCACTGCTATCTTGACCATCCTACTTCCTTCGCTTCTCAGTAACTTTACTACCAGTTCTTTTCCTCTCCTCCAAACTATTAGGTTTTGCATGATAATTTGGGGATAACATTCATGATGATGTACTAAACAGAGTGAGTCAACTGGTCCTACCTTTAAAAAATGACCATTTAAACAAGTCTTCAAAGATACCGTCTCCCTTTTAATAGATAACATGTTAGTGACTTCTACGGTTTTTCATTCCAATCCAGGTAGAAATTTGTCCCGAGGAGGCAGGTTAAACAGGCCTATCTTTAGGTAAAAAAGACACATCAGAAAGACTTTTTCACAGCAAATGTTTTGAAGTATTTTATCCAAAAGAATACAAAACAAGTAAAATACAGACAAAATATGGTGCTTTGGTATATACCTCAGTTGGTTCTAAAGACTGTGGATTTGAAATAATACAGCAGAAACCCAGTATGCCAATGTGTCATAAGTGAAAAGTAGAAAGCAAAGAAATTAACACAGTTAATGATTAAGGAAAAAACAAAGGGTTGTTTGTAAGTAATAAATAATTATTAATAAATATTACTATCATTGTAATATATAGTATATATCACAGTACTAATAAACAATAAAAACTGACAAGTCTAAAATATTACTAATATTTTTAATTTTCTGGAATACTAAATGGCATTCGCTTCTCAAGCATTTTCCTTACAAGAATGAGCAGTACTGAATACCTTAAAGCCAACAGAACACAACAAAAATCAAAAAGTAGAAAGAAGTACTCCTGACGTTTAAGATCATCTCATCAGAACAGGCATCATTAGTCTCAGCAAAATCTAACAAAAACTCCATCTGACACAAGGAATACTAACATACTGCAATAAAAGTTATGTGAATGTGGTCCCTCTCTCTCAAAATATCCTATTGTACTTATCACGCTTCCTCTTCTTGTGATGTGAGATGATAAAACGCCTGTGTGATGAGCTGAAATGAGGTGAATGACACAGGCATTGTGACGTAGCATTAGGTGACTACTGACCTTCTGACAAGACATCAGAAGGAGGATCACTGCTTCCAGACCGCAGGTGACCATGAGTGACTAAAACTGCAGACAGCAAAATGGCAGATAAGGGGGGACTACTGTATGGGGCACCATCAAATAAAACAATATTCGCATTACGGGAGCCCCAGAAGAAAGGGACAGAAAACTTATTTAAAGAAATAGTGGCTCAAACTTCCCAAATCTGGGGAGAGATATGGCCATCCAGGTCGATGAAGCAATAAGACCCCCTTTGATTCAACTCAAAGAGATCTTCACCAAGACACATTATAATCAAGATCTCAAAAGTCAAAGAAAAACAAAGAATTCTGAAAACAGCAAGAGAAAAAAAGACTCCTCACATCCAAGGAAATCTGATAAGGCTTTGAGCAGAAAACTTGCAGGCCAGGAGGGAGTGGGATGATATATTCAGAGTGCTCAAAGAAAAACCTGTCAACCAGGAACACTTAACCCAGCGAAGCTGTCCTTCACAGATGAAAGATGCAGACTTCCCAAACAAAAACTGAGGGAATTCATCACCACTGGACAGGACTTACAAGAAATACCAAAGGGAGTTCCTTCAAGCTGAAATGAAAGGACACCAATTACTAAGATAAAAATATATTAAAAGTATAAAATTCACTGTAAATATGGGAGTAAATATATACTCCCATTCGAAATTCTCTTTTAATACTGCCGTGGTGGTGTGTAAATCACTTTGAACTCTAGCATATAGGCTAAAAGACAAATGTGTTAAAAATAACAACAGTTCCAATTATTTTGTTAATGGATACACTATAGATAGATGCAAAGTGAGACATCAACAACATAAAATGTTGGGAGGGCAGGTAAAAGTGTGGAACTTTTCGTATGTAATTAAAGTTAAGCTGTCATGGGCTTGCTTAAAATAGACCATTATAACTGTAAGATGTACTATGAAAGTCTCATGGTGATCACAAAGCAAAAACCTCTAAAAGATACACAAACGATAAAGAGAAAAGAATCAAAGCATATCAACACAAAAACCCATCAACTCACAAGGACAGGAAGAAAGGAACAAAGAACTACAAAACAACCAGAAAGCAATTAACAAAATGGAGATAGTGAGCCCTTGCCTATCAATAATTACTCTGAATATAAATGGTTTAAATTCTCCAATTAAATCACATAGAGTGGCTAAATGGATATAAAGATATAAGACCCAGTAAATGCTGCCTAAGAGAGATTTACTTAAGCTTTAAGAACGCTCATAAGTTGAAAGTGAAGGGATGGAAAAAGATACTCCATGCAAACAGAAAACAAAAGAGAAGGCAGAGGTAGCTATATTTATACCAGACAAAATAGACTAACTTGAACGCTGTAACAAGAGAGAAAGAAGATCACTATATAACGACAGAGTGGTCAATTCATCAAGAGGACACAACACTTATAAACATATATGTACCCAACATTGGAACACCCAAATATATTAAAAAATTATTAACATATCAGAAGGCAAAAACACAGAGCAATGTAGCAATAGTAGGGGATTTCAATACCCCACTTTCAACAATGGATAGATCATCCAAACAGAAAATCAATAAGGAAATAATGGACTTGAATGACACTTTAGACCAAATAGACATAACAGACATATACAGAACATTCCATCCAACATCAGCAGAACACACATTCTTCTCAAGCGCACACGGAACAGTCTCCAAGACAGATCAAATGTTAGGTCACAAAGTAAGTCTTAACAAATTTCAGATTGAAATCCTATCAAATATCTTTTCCGATTACAATGATCTGAAGGCAGAAATAAAGAACAGAGCTGAGAGGTTCAAAACTATGTGGAAATGAAACAGCACACCCTGAGCAAGCAATAGGTCAAAGAAGAAATCAAAAGGGAAATTAAAAAATATCTTCAAACAAACAAAAGCGGTGTATATACACACAATGGAATATTATTCAACCATAAAAAAGAAGGAAATCCTATCATTTGCAACAATGGGGCTAAACCTGGGAGGGCTAAGTGAAATAAGCCAGATGGAGAAAGACAAAGTACTGCACAGTATTACTTACACACGGAATCTTAAAAAAAAAAAATCAGCTAATTTCATAGAAAGAGAGAATAGAACAGTGGTTGCCAAGAGTTGGGGATGGGGGAAATTTGGCCCAAGGGTCCAAATTTACAGTTACAATAATAGGTTCTGAGGATATAATGTACAGCATGGTGACTATAGTTAATAATATGGTATTGTATAATTGAAAGTTGCTAAGAGACCTTAAGCATTCTCATCATTAAAAAACAGTTAACTATATGAGGGATTTACGTGTTCAGATCTTGATAATCATTCTACAATGACTATCAAATCATCACATTTATTCTTTAAATATATACAATTCTATTTATCAGTTATTCCTCAATAAGGTAAAAAAAAAAAATGGGGACAGTAAAGCATCACCAAATAAAATATTTGCTTGAGCCAAAAGGGTATTGAGAGCTTATAAGGCTGAATGTCTTAAAAAGAAATACAGGGGCCGACCCAGTGGCATAGTGGTTAAGTTTGTGTGCTCTGCTTCGGCGGCCCAGGCTTCACACGTTTGGATCCCAGGCACAGACCTAGTACGGTTCATCAAGCCACACTGTGACAGCATCCCACATAAAACAGAGGATTGGCACAGATGTTAGCTCAGTGACAATCTTTCTCAACTACAAAGAGGAAGATTGGGAACAGATGTTGGCTCAGGCCCAATCTTCCTCACACACACACACACACAAGAAATACAAAATGAGCTTGTTCATACTTGGCTACTTAGCAAAAAAAAAAAAGGCAAGGAAATTAGCAGATTGATGTAAACAAACAAAATAAAAGAGGAGGGTAATGTAGTATTCTTTGCCATTCTCAGAATTCCCAAGTGAAGTTTCAGCTATTGATGAGCGACTCTGGAAGCTGATGAGAGAAGTAGTTTTGCTACGGCATGGAGTTTGAAGGAAATTCTGAAAAACTTTCAGGAATACCTTACGGTATATTATATGGTACTATTTGGGGATCACAAAAATCTCAGCATATATCCATGTCACCCCCAGAGTTTACTGTATAAACCTAAAACATCTCAAGTTCCTTGTTTTACTGTACTCCACATGCCTACCCTTGTGCCTTCCGTTAGCCACTTGTTATTCTTTATTATGCAGAATTCTACAACTACACTCAAAGGCAGAAACTCATTCTTTCAAGTAAGAAACCTACAGCACTGCATAGAGAATTGTCATACCAAGAAAAATGTCTACTTTTCTCTTACACATCAGGGTTGGAAACCCCCTATAAAATTCATTCAATTAGGGGCCGGTCCCTGGCCCAGTGGTCAAGTTCACACACTCTGCTTAGGCGGCCCAGAGTTTCATCGGTTCAGATCCTGGGCGCAGACATGGCACCACTCATCAAGCCACGCTGGGGTGGCATCCCACATAGCACAACCAGAGGCACTCACAACTAGAATATACAACTATGTACTGGGGGACTTTGGGGAGAAGAAGGGAAAAAAAAAGAAGACTGACAACAGATGATTGCTCAGGTGCTAATCTTTAAAAAAAAATCATTCAATTATAATATATAAATCATCAAAATAAAGTAGCATTATAACTATTAAAAAGTAAAAGAAAAAAAGCAAACAATGTCAAAGAAATTGTTCCATGAAAGCCACAGGGAGAAATTCAATTCTGAAACTATTTTTCAGAATTCTGAAAGCATTTTCAGCTTCTAGATAAGAAGAGTTTTATTTTCTCAACTCCATAAACACATTTTTGTTTTTAGAATTAGTTAAAAACTAACTACTTAACATTTAGTGATCACTATGTAAAATCAGTTTTTAATAATAAAAACATAAGATATGGTAGAAAGCATGATTTGACTTTATTAACCTCACTCATAATGTTGAATACAAATGCAAAATTAAGTGGTGACTCCTAATTTTAAGTCTATTTCAAAGCATGGTCTCTTCGATTTAACTATTAGGGCAGACAGGTGTTATGAGAGGGAGGGGAACCAAAAAAACAAGCTCAAAAAACCCCACTGATTTATCTCTGTGTTATAAAGTTTGAGCTACAGCCCTTATATTCCTTTAAACAGTGTTCTCTTCTCACTTTCCATTAATCTCATCAGTAACTGAATTTTTAACCGGACCCTATAATCCATCACGTCTTCCAATTATGAATTGAAAAGAAATCTAAGTAGATATGTGTACAAAGTACTTCATGAAATTTACCACACAGCTCAACTTCACATATAAACTTCAAAAATTAAAAGGACTATGATATTCTTAAAACCCAAAGGCTAGACTAGGCCCACCTTCCAATCTTTTCTGCATTTTAAGAAATGATTTGACCTAATGATGTTAACATAGAAATACATCATATATCTTAGCATCAATAAGATATGACATTCAAAGGGAGAGCCAATAAATCTTTGCATTTTAAAACCAAAAGGAATACATCTTGGACACCTTAAATTATAAAATTCGGTTCTAAGCAGGAACTGTTACCATGTAACAAATACTGCTCATATCAAAAGTGCTGGTGACAAGGAATTTGATATGCCCTTCCCACAAAATCTGCTCATATACATATATAGAGCTATAGCTGTAATAAGATTTTAAATGTTTAAGGTGCTTAAATTTTGCACTGCAGGACTAATCCAATAAGCATTCATCGGCTGTCTCTTTGTAGCAACTCCAGTTAGAGGGAATGATCCACAGGCAAAGGGCAAAAACGCTGTTATTTTCTAGAATGTGGCATTTGTGGAGCTGGAGTGCCCTCTATCGGTAATGAAGAAGACACACTCATTAGCTGTCCTGCGTGCATTTTCTCATTAATTCGGAGTTCACACCCATCCTGAAGCATTCGAACTGCTATTCGGGCAATGTTCTTAGAATCGTCAAGACCACTGTGAGGCCGCCCATCATAATCCATTCCTAGTTTCTCAAGCATTATTGTCAGTTTGGTTTGGCTTCTAGGAACCTGAAAAATAAACAGCTTGGTAAATAATTCTTTAGTATTCTGTAAGTCACTATGAAGTGGAAAAATAAGAAACTGATAATTAACAGTAATAGCTAAATAAAGTTAGGCAAAGGGCAAATACTCCTGGTCAAATGAAGCAAATAACTAACTCACACTCTTGGAGCTTTAAAAAAAAGATCCTAGAGTTTTAGATGAAAATACGTATAAAGAGATGGAATCCTTAAGACGTGAAAAGTCTACAGTTTTGTAATTTATATATCATTTATGAAAGGAAATGTACTGTTCTGGATGTCTAAGTTGAAGCTCTCTACCTTTTTAACCCAAACTAATGTGTTTGGTATTTTTCTGTAATATATATTTTCACTTGACTAACTCCTCAGACAGATACACCAAAACACACTTAGCCTTTCTAGATGACTAAAAATAATGAAGATCAAGAAGAAAAGACAATGTCATGGGGTATTTTTCAACCTATTTAAATATCTTCTCCATTTTGATAAATATAAAAATCTCACACACTCCTCCAATTCCAATAAGCCTCCCTGCTTTTGAGAAGCACTGTTCTATCTTCTGCACATCCCTACCAGGAATCAGATTCAAGCTTTACATTCTGTAGTTGGTATAGCTGTGTCACCTATGCATCTTGAAGCCGCAGCTTCATCTGGGAAATGAGAACAACAGTTATACTGCTTATTCACTGGGTTATTGGGAGAATCACAAAGGAAATGACATAAAAGCCCCATAACAAACATCAATAATTATCCTAAGCTGTAATACCACAATGCATTCTGGGCCTTCCACTAATCATCACCTAGAAAATGTGCTTCTAAAAATAACTTTTCCGAAACAGTGAATAACTTACATGAAATGAACTATTCCTAGAAAAACACAATCTATCAACACTGAATCATGAAGAAAAGAGAAAATCTGAACAGATATATATAAAGTAAGGTGAACTGAATAAGTAATGAAAAACATCAAAAACCTTCCAACAAAGAAAAGCCCAGGACCAGACGGCTTCACTGATGAATTCTACCAAATGCTTAAAGAAGAATTAACACCAATCCTTCTCAAACTCTTGCAAAAAACTGAAGAGGGAACATTTTCTAACTCATTCAATGAGGTCAGCTTTACCCCGACACCAAAGCCAGACAAAGACACCACAAGAGAAGAAAACAAGAGACCAACATCCTTTATGAACATTGGTGCAAAAATCCTCAAGGATACCAGCAAACTGAATTCAGCAGCACATTAAATGGATTATATACCATGACCAAGTTTATTCCTGGAAAGAAAGGATGGCTCAACAAGTGAAAATCAATGCGCCACATTAAGAGAATGAGGGGAAACACCATCAGCTCAATTGATGCAGAGAAAGCATTTGATAAAACTGCATTCTTTCACGATAAAAACACTCAACAAACTAGGAAAACTAGGAAACTACCTCAAAATAACGAACGTCATACATGAAAAACCCACAGTAGAACATCATACTCAATGGTGAGAGGCTGAAAGCTTTTCCTCTAAAACCAGGAACAAGACAAGGCTGCCCACTTTCACCACTTTCATTCAACACAGTATTGCCAGTTCTAACCAGAACAAGGAAGGAAGAAAAAGAAAAGGCATGCGAACGGGAAAGGGAGAAGTACAGTTACCTCTGTTTGCAGATGGCATGATCTTATATGTAGAAACTCTGAAGACTCCACCAAAAACTGTCTGAACTAATAATCAAATACAACAAAGTCACAGGATACAAAATCAACATGCAGAAGTCAGTTGCAATTCTATACACTAACAATGAACAACCCAAAAAGGAAATTAAGAAAACAATTCCACTTCAATAGCATCAAAAAGAAAAAATACTTAGGAATAAATTTAATCAAGGAGCTGAAAGACTTGTACACTGAAAACTGTAAAACGTTGCTGAAAGAAATTAAAGACACAGAAAGACATCTGTGTTGATGGACTGAAAGACTTAATATTGTCAAGCCATCAGTAATACTTAAAATGTTCTAGAGGTTCAATGCCATCACTAAAAAATCACAACAACATTTTTTGCAGAAATGGAAAATCTCATCCTAAAATTCACATGGAATCTCAAAAGACCCCAAATAGCCAAAATAATCTTGCAAAATAAATTGGAGGTCTCACACTTCCTGTTCAAAACTTACTAACAAAAGCTACAGTAATCAAAATAATATACTGGCATATCGACATATTGACCAGTGGAATATAATAATGAGCCCAAAAATATACAAACTCTTAACTGATTTTTGACAAAGGTGCTGAGACCGTTCAATGGGGAAAGGACAGTTTTTTCAACAAATGGTGCTGGGAAAACTGGATATCCACACACAAAAGAATGAAGTTGGACCTTTACCTTACACCATATATAAACATTACCTCAAAATGGATCAAAGACCTAAACCTAAGAACTAAAACTATAAAACTCTTAGAAGAAAACACAGGGGAAAAGTTTCATGACACTGGATTTGGCAATGATATATTGGATATGACACCAAAAGCACAGGCAACAAAAGAAAAAAATAAACTGGACTTCATCAAAATTTAAAACTTTTATATATCAAAGGACACTATCAACAGAGTGAAAAGGCAGCCCACAGAATGGGAGAAAATATTTGCAAATCATATATCTGAAAATGGAGTAAGAACCAGAATATATAAAGAATTCCTAAAATTCAACAACAAAAAATCTGATTAAAAAATGGACAAAGGATTTGACATTTCTCCAAAGAAGATATACAAATGGCCAATAAGCACATGAAAAGATGTTCAGCATCATTAATCATTCTGAAAATACAAATCAAAGCCACAATGAGACACCACTTCATACCATTAGATAGCCATTATAAAAAAAAGGAAATAGAAAATAAGTGTTGACAAGGATGTAAAGAAATTGGAACCCTTGCGCATTGCTGAAGAGAATGTAAAATGGTGCAACCACTGTGCAAAAACAGTATAGGAGTTCCTTAAAAAATTAAACAGAGAATTATCACATGATCCAGCAATTCCACTTTGGGGTCTTCCCAAAGAATTGAAAGCAGGGACTCAAACAGACATTTGCACATCCATGTGCACTGCAGCATTATTCACAAAAGCCAAAGGGTAGAAGCAATCCAAGCGTCCATTGACAGCTGAATGAATAAAAATATGGTATATATATACATACAATGGAATATTATTTGGCCTTAAAAAAGGTAGGAAATTCTCAAACAATGGTATATAGTTAGCCTTACAAAGGAAGGAAATTTTGACACATACTACAACTTGCACAAACCTTGAAGACATTATGCTAAGTGAAACAAGTCACTCACAAAAGGACAAATACTTTTTTTTTTTAATTGAGTTAAGGATAGGTTACAATCTTGTGAAATTTCTGTTGGACATCATTGTTTGTCAGTCGTGTTGTAGGTGCACCACTTCACCCTTTGTGCCCACCCCCACCCCACCTTTCCCCTGGTAGCCACTAATCTGTTCTCTTTGTCTACATTTTTAAATTCCTCATATGAGTGGAGTCATACAGAGATTGACAAAAGGACAAATACTATTGATTCTACTTACATGAGGTACCCAGAAGAGTCAAATTGATAGATACAGAAAGTAGAACGGTAGCTGACAGGGGTTGGAGGAAGGGGTCATAGGGAGTTACTGTTTAAAGGGCACAGAGTTTCAGTTTTGGAAGATGAAAAAGTTCTGGAGATGGATAGTGGTGATGGCTGCATGACAATATGAATGTTCTTGATGACAGTGAACTATACACTTAAAAATGGTTAAAATAATACCATGTCTACTCAGACAAGGGAAACAAAAGAAAAAATACACAAATGGGACCACATGAGACTAAAAAGCTTCTGCAAGGCAAAGGAAACCATAAACAAAACGAAAAGACAACCCACCAACTGGGAGAATATATTTCAAATCATATATCTGACAAGGGGTTAATGTCCAAGGAGACAGATTAGTGTTACCAGAGGGGTTGGGGGAGGGCAAAAGGGGTAAAGGGGCACATATGTATGGTGACAGAGAAAAACTAGACTATAGGTGGTAAACACGACGCAGTCTACAGAAACTAACATATAATAATGAACACCTGAAATAATACAATGTTGTAAACCAATATGACCTCAATTTTTAAAAAAAATGATTAAAATGGTAAATTTTATGTTCTGTACATTTTACCACAATAAAAAAAAATCTCAGAGATAAAATGAAAAGTCCTGGATAGTGCTAGAAAAATAGTTAACTCTATTACACAAAGGCCAGTTCATTCGATCATGTTTAAAATGTAAACTGTGTGAAAACCTGGATAAAGAACACATCAGCTTCACACTTCCTCTGGCCTAGCAAGGAAAAGTGTTCAGCTAGGTGTCTGACTTGAAAGGTGAGTGGCAGGAAACTAGGCGGCCAGATTTTGCCAAGAGGTTTGAAGAAGAGCTGCAAAAACTAGCCTACTTAGCAGATACGTTCATCACATAAACCAACTGAATAAGTGCCTGCAAGACCCTGGAGAAACCATGTAACTTCAAGTGACAAGACTCTTGGATCTGAAAGGAAATGGAGTCTTTGGAAATATCACAGTGCAAAAGGAAATCTTAAATATTCACGCTTTTGTGTGCGCTTGATAGTGAGGAAAGCTAATAGCAAGTCTCAAGACTTACTGAAAGCCACCTGGAAAACTGTAGAAAATGAGTATTTTCTTCTCTTTCAACACCCGACTACGACCAAGCAAAGGACCTTATCTCTGAATCTTCTGCTCAGCCTGAGAATTTGACTTTGAGAAAAGAGCTTTGTAAGGTAGTCTGACAGCACACTGGAGATGAGACTGACTGATCTGCTGCTAGAAAAGTTGTAGATTTCTGCAAAAGAAGAGGGTCCTGTCATTTACAGGAAAGCAATGAACATTTCACTGCATTTTTCAACTTCTTATATGTGTAAGCAAGCTTTTTCTTGCTTAACAACATGAAGAGCAAGGGCAGGACTCTAATTTCAGTGGAAAATGAAATGCCTGTGAGCTCATCTCAAATTTATCCCAAAATTGAGTTATCTGTACAGAAAAAAAAAAGAACAAAAACAAACTCAGGTTTCACCTTAAAGAGATATATTTCATTCTTTACTTTTACTTCAAAAACATTTTAATTTGTATATAGAACTATAAAGGAAGTAAAGAAACTAACACATTTGGGTAATTTTGTAAAAGGTAACCCTACATTTGAGTCTGATCGTGCCAGAAAGAAACTTTTTTATTTTCTAAAATGATGTGTAAATTATGTCTTAGGCTGTATTTTTATTCATATTGCTCCAGCACACTTACAGAAAAAAATCAAACTTTATTTTAAGTTTAAGCCAGTTATTTAACAGGATGTATGACATTTGCCTTATAAGTTTTTTAAGTTTATGAAAAAGAAAGAAAGAGATTAATTTCAAGCTTAATTATCCATCTCCACCCTCCAGTCCCAAGAAACGCTGGGTAAAAAGTCACTTTTAATTTTACAAAGGAGAAAAGAATACTTTGTACATATCATATACCAAAGACCATACCTTGTTAGCACTGTATACAGCACATATTTGTGATAAGACTTTTGCATCTACTTGAATAAGGCAAACCAAAAAAAAGAAGAAGAAAAACATTTAAAAAGGAAAACATAAGTTTCTTCAACTTATACTACTAACTGGCATTATAGTTGATATCTGTTATGAAGAGGAGAAAATCATGCAGAAAAGAGCAGCCTAAGAAATTGGCCAACACAAACAGATCCACAGAAAAACACTATTCTCTACTCAAAAGAGCACTGGCAATTTTACTGCCTTAATATATCTAGAACTTTCTGATCACTCTAATGCACTGCGAGCTGTAGATGTTTTTATGCAGACCTGAAAATTATTTTATGGTTTTGTTAATTATTAATAATTATCTTTAGAATAAATTATTCCTCTTAGTGAAAGGTTCGAAAAAGATGCCCTAATATAAGAATGCATTACCACCTGGGAGTTGTAGTAAAAAAAAAAAAAAAAAAAGAAACACCTAAAGATGATCAAGCCCCTATAAATTTACATGAAATACACAAGAGAGAGGCACATTTAAAACCAAATCACAGGATACAATTAGCAAAATCCAAACTATGGGAAACTCTACAGGACAAATGGCTCAGTTTCCTAAAAAAAAAAAAAAAATGGCTAGAGGGAAAAAGGAGGTGGAAGAGGAACCAACTGCAAATGTGTGGACCTTATTCTGATCCTGATTCAACACACAAAAGGTAAAAGAAAATGAACTATTTATGATAATTTGATGACATTAAGGAATTAATTTTTTAGGTGTGATAATGGTATGGTGGTGATGTTTTTTAAGAGTCCTTATCTTTCCGAGTTAAGTCTTGAAATGTTTACAGATCAAATGAAATAATGTTTAAGATCTGCTTCAAAAGACTAAGGAAAGGGGAAAGCAGGTGGGGATACAGATGAAACAAAGTTGGCCATGAGTTATCACCGTTAAAATGGGTTCACCAGGGTTCATCAGACCTGTCTACTTTTGTACATGGTTGTAATTTTTTATAACCAACTATTTTTAAGAGATCACAAAATGAGTGAAAAGATACATCCACTAAAAGGAAAAAATATTTATCAAATACAATCAAGAGAATAATATCCAAAATAAGGATCTACAAACCAATAACAAAAGGACAAACCACCCAATTTTTAAAAAGTGGGTAGAAGATTTAAACAGGGACATCACAGAAGGAAGAAATTCAAATGGCTAACAAAGGAAAAGGAGCCCAGCCTCATGAGTAATTAAGCAAACACACATTAAAACCTCAATGAGATGGCAATTACACATCCGTTAGATTTACAGTGAAAACATCCGGCAATACCAGATTCTGGCAAAGACCCACTGGAGCAACTGTAAATTCACACTCTTCTGGTGAGAGTGCAAACTGCTACAATCTCTTTGGAAAACTATTTTTGCATTATCTAGTAATGTCAATGATGCACACATCCTATTACCCAGCAATTCCACGCCTAGATTTACACCCTGGAGAAATGAGTGTACACAGACAGAAGACAGGGACAAGAACATTTACAGGAGCACTGTTCACAAAAGCCCAACTGAAAACCACTCAAACGGCCAAAGTAGAAGAGAGAAACTCTGGTATATTCACACAATGGAATTCTACACATAATAAAATAACTGAACTACAGCTACACACATGACATGGAGGAATCTCACACAATTTTGAGAAAAAAAGCAAAATAAACAATACAGCCAGTATGATGCTAATTATATCATGTTCAAAAACAGGCAAAACTAAACTATATGGTAAAAGGATAAACATATAAATATTAAAGCTCTAAGGAAAAACAATAAAATGATTCCCATGAAGGCATGGCTTATGGGAACTCTGGGAGAAAGGAAGGGGGTTAAGTGGGTGGAAGTCACCAGGGATTTCACTCAAAACAAACTGTCACATTCGACTTTTCTGTATACATAGTTCTCAATTTTAAAAGTGCTAAAACCACAAGAAAAAAATGCTTTGAAGAAAATGCACCTTTTCTCCTGAACTTACTTTAGGATGTGCTTCACGAAAATGAGGTGGTAAGGGGAGAAAGAAGACCCAACACAAGATCTAACACACAACAGAGAAGCACAGGAAACCTCCTACGCGACTTCACAAGAAGCCTGAAGAACACACAGCTCAGATCACAAGACGATTAAACCTTCAGGAAGGTAGTTGCCAAGGGAAAAAAAGAAAAGGAAAAAAGAGAAACTGACAGACCACTAGAGTGTTTTGAGTACTGACAAGTGATTTACAGTTTGACTGGAGAGCAACGGGACAAGAAAACAACTAAAGAAGTTAATTATTAACTCTGGGGCAAGGCTGTGAACACTCTCTAGTCACAGGAATGTCAACACTGAATAACGGTTGGATTTAAAGGTAATGTAACTGTATTAGAAGGACGCGGGGAGGGGAAGGTCATGCAGGAATGGTGGCTTTTTAATAGAGCTAAATCTTCATTACCCATTGCAGGAACTTAACAGATAGCTCAAACTGAAAACTCACCAAATAGCATAAACATATAATTTAGAAATATAAAGGTTACTAGTATACGAAATAGCTTTCAAGAGCTCAAAGTGTTTGCCTCAGGAGAACAGGGACTGGTGAGGGCCAGGGCGAAAGACTGCAGTTTGTCCTAAGCTTTGCGATACTGTTTTAAAAATGTACATGATACCTAGGTATCAACTTTGATAAAATTAAAGTTCAGTGGGGAGCATTTGTTCCACAAACAATCTAAATATTGAACACCCCTATGGTTTCAAAGCTCTGTTATCGAAGATCACGTATATATAGTTAACCCATTTAAGTCATAGTACGAATGAGAAAAATAGCTTAACTTTCTAAACTCATATGAACATAATTAATTTGGAATCTGAAAAGTAACAACTAATTATATGGCCTTTTTCTGTGAAAAGCACCCAGTAAATCACGTTATGTACAGGTAAGATATAATAAATTTATCATCAAGAGCAATGTAGTCAATAAAATATAGAAATTTTACCTTGTAAAAGTTTCCATAGGACTTTCGAATATTGATCCACTTTTTGGCAAAAGGAGGATATTTGAGCCTGCTTAGCCGGCACTGAATGTTCAGGAACTTACTCATATCCCACGAACTTAAAAATCAAAAACAGGGAAAAAAATGGATAAAATAAATGCTATACTATTCTTACAAATGAGTATGTTAAGTCATTCTATTTTTTATTTACACATCACCTTATATTCACACACAACATTAAGCTTAGAAAATTAACCTCTCTTCCTCCAAAATACTAATACAAAAATAACCTTTAAAAAAACAAAGAAAAGTAGAAGTCAGGTGAATTAAATTTTTGCCACAAACTGATTAATTGTTATTAGGCTCATCTTGGTCATTTTTATGGTTCTGATTACCTGGGCAGATCTCTAGTTTGTTGAGTATTTTTTCATAATTCTAAAATAACTCTGCTAAGCTTACTTTTAATGCCAGGTTTATATTAGGAAATTCTTTGAGGGTGTGCTTTGAAATAAAACAAAAATCAAAAACATGAACAAAATACTCGAAAGAGACAAAAGTAGTTGGTATCAAGCAGGTAGAATATAATTCGTTCTGCTACAGTGTCAGTTTCTATAACACTCATCATCCCATGGAGGTAGGGGAATACTGGCTGTATAGCGTGGCAACTGTGTTGGTTCATACATGGTTCTTTCTAGGCAGATGGAGTCAGAATAACAGCAGTAGGAATTATAACCTTCAGCAGGAAAGAAAAAAAGCTCTCAACTCAGCTGCTGCACTGACAACAGGAGTATTTTCAAGTGCATTTTAAGAAAATTAAAAACAAGTGCCCGTCCACAGGATCCTGCTGCTTCTGTGCATTTGTAAGATCCTCGGGGGCAAACGTCCACCTACCCTGCGCTGCTTTCCCGGGCTGTCCAAATTGCTTCTAGAGGTACTCATTATTGGTTTTTTAATGCTCTGGTTACAAAATTGCACAGGTTTTGATGATCTGCCCCAAAGTATGAGGTTTTTACCGAGTCGCACATACTGTGTTATGACAGAAACACCCGTATGCTTGAGCAGAAGCGCTGCTCATTCAGGTTTAAAATCAATAATAGATTTCTAAAGAGGTCTATCAACATTTTCCCAAACTTCCATTTCAAAACACAACAACGATGTGATTAAATTCCGTGTTCTTCTCCTCCTGTATGTGAGGGCTTCTAAACTTGTCACGAGGGTGACATCCCAGCTTCAGCGCACAAACTGTCCACAGTCTGAAACAGAAGTGCGTTAGGACTTTCTTCAATCTCAACAGCACCATGGGACAGGAGCTGCCCCAGCACAATGCCGTAATCCTTGTTTCAAGCGCTCTCATCTGCCCAAGTAGCCTGTCGTTTAACAAATGCTTTCTGAGAACGTATTTTGCACCCAGCACTCCAGTAAGCATTATGGAAGACTATCAAGGAGCAAAGTCCACACTCTGAAAGGATTTTTCATCTCCTTGCAAATGTAAGTCTTACAAACATAAAGTTGAGATATCAGAATATTTAGTCAGATGTCAACATGAATGGTACATATAGACGCTATAAGACTGCCAAGAAAGAAAAGATCAATGAGTTCCAGTGTTTGGAGTAAACAGAAGGTGGGCTTTGAATGACGACAAAGAAGCAGTCAAGGATGAGCGCCTTCCTTCCAGTAGAGAGGAAAGCATGAGCGAGTACATAGAGAAGGGACAAACCCTGTGACTCACAGCCAGCCTGACTGGGGTGAAAAAGAACGGCTGGTGGATGTGGTTGCACAGGTGGGGCAGGATCAGATGAGAGAACCCTGACAGCCAGACTGAAGAGTCTGGACTTTCTGAGCAAGAAAGTGTCCTGATAAAAACAGAGTTTTAATAAAGTTACTTCAGTTTCACATGTTAATATTTATCTTTCTCTAGTCTTCTGGATTTCCCAATTAGACCATTATCATTGCTTTCCCTCCTCTCTTTGATCTCTAATTTAACAGGAATAATTTAACTAGTTAAATTAGTTTAACTAGGAATAAGAACATGAAAGGACAAGTACTGTCTCCTGTGAGGGACTCTAGCATCTTTACTAAATAATATTTTTATGGTTATTCTGAAAGTAAAATGAGTAAGGACATCTTTAATCTTACAAAGTCGATTAAAAAGATAATTTCCCTAAATACGTACCCATCCGTTAATATGGAATATTTATACTTGGTTCCTAGTTCCTTCAGTTTCATCCAGTCAACTACCTTTCTTAGTACCTGAGGGAAGGTATCAGCTCCGTCTACCAGATCCTGAGGAGACAAAGTAAACTTTATGAAACTCACGGTAGCTACACGTAGTCCTGCAAAACCCGACACAAACACCAGAGGGAAAGGAACAGAGAGAGAAAGTCTTCTGTGATGTTTAAACTCTTCATGATTTCTGCGGTGGAGATCCACTAACACTTTATTTTTAAGACAATTAAAAAGTGTTTATAGCCAAGTATTAGAGACTGCTTCCAACTGAGGTACACAATCCTCCCCAAACGAAGATTTAAGATCATCCCCAGTGGCTCTTTCTTCAGGCCTCAACCTGGCGGCTCACCGATCCTCCGGAGCGGAGAAAGGGAACTCTGCTCAGCTGGAAGCCACAGCCCTCCCTCTGAAGGGGTCCCCCCATCCCGAAGCTCACCTCTTCCCACGACACACGCACACTGCTGTCAGACTCAGCCTCCCAAAACGGAAATCTGCTCCACCACAACCCTTCCATACTCACAGTCCTCCCAACACCCCACCAGGCTTTCGGGATAAAAAGACACAAGACTCTTCACAACCTGGCTTGCCTCTGCCCTTCACTTTAGCTTTATTTGTGACCATTTTCTTATTAGCCCATACACACCGGAATCATTCCAAACTACCTACAATTGCACCCTTCATATCTGAAATACCCAACTCTTCTTTTCTGCCTATTACCTATCACGATGGAGCCCAAGCTCGGCAACTTGAAGAAGTGCTTCCCAGGACAGCCCTCCATTCTCTCTGTCATAGGAAGACCTTTGTATAGGTGCCCATAATACCCCGATCAAACACCGAATGACTTGTCAGTCTTCCTAATCATATTCTGACCACCGGTTTAATCTGTCTGTCCTCCTGATTAGAGATGGTTAAGTGAGCTGAGGAGAGGGACTGACTTGATCATCTCTGTTCCCGTGGTACCCTGGCAAATATTATAGTAGGCGCTCAAATATTTGTTGAGTGAATGAACGAATAAAGAAGGGAACTAAGTAAATGATCCTAGGGCCTACCACATTAGAACACAACTAAAAATCAGAGACCTAAGGAAAACTGAGCTATAGTCAGGTTGTAAACAGGCACACTTTAAAACTTTATCTCCAAGTTCAGCATAGTAACATTGACTTTACTAATGCTCCCAACACCTGAGACCTTCAGATTCATTGTTACAAACCTTAAAAGAAAAGGCTGAGAAAAATTTTACCAAGTGTAAAACGTGCTTTTCTATTTTTTAAAAATTAAAATACGAAGGATCTTTACCAAGCAAGGAAAGTATCACATTAATTTAAACTGTTTACAACAACAATTTTGAAAAACTATGAAATAAATCCCTAACTTCGAAACTTCTTTCCAACTCTAGAAAAACGAACACAGAATTATAACCTGAGTAATTCCAGTTAGATTGATGCAGAAATCAGAAAGCTGTGTGTTAATCTCTGGTCTCACATACTGCTGAAACGTATCTTCCTACAAGGGAAAGACAGGAAGTTAAAGCATTTCCTGTGACTTAAGATACATGACACATGATACATGACAAATTCAGCCACACACGGTTGTAATTTTATAGGTGCTCATGACATAGACCTTTCTAGAGTTTTAACAATTTAAGGATAATTCCCTACTCCCAAAGCACTCTAATTTTTTTAATTAAAAAATTGTTCCAGGGGCCGGCCCCATGGCCTAGTGGGTAAGTTCCCGTGCTCGGCTTCAGTGGCCCAGGGTTTCGCTGGTTCAGATCCTGGGTGCGGACACGGCACCTCATCAGGCCATGCTGAGGCGGTGTCCCACATGCCACAACTAGAAGGACCCACAACTAAAATATATAACTATGTACTAGGGGGATTTGGTGAGAAAAAGCAGAAAAAAGAAATTGTTTCATACCTTAAAAAATTTTAAGATAAAGCAAGTGTCTAAAACCAAGCCCTCAAACCAAAATTTAAATGAACATTTCGTGAGGAGCAAAATGTTGATAATTTTGTTTGTAGTATTTTGAAACTGTAAAGTCTATTAACACAAGCTCTACTTCAAGATACTAAGAGCTTTTCAAATAATAAATTCTTTTGAAGAAATGCCAGTCTTCAGTTATAAGAAATTAGCTCCAGATTATTGCTCTCATTTACTCCTGAATAGTCCTTATTTTTATGTTAAGATTCCATTAAACTGAATTCTGAATAGTCCAAATTTGACTATATATGTGGTAGTTTAAAGGGTGACAATACTGTATTTTTTAGCAATTTTTCACTTCCTCAAGAAGCTGTCAAGCTTGCCTTCTTACTTTCTGCTCACAAGCACTCCGTGAACTCAGTGCAGCCAGTGTGGTCATCAGCAGACTCAGGCCGCCAGCTGCCTTTTCCTCTAACCCCAAATCAGATCACACTAAGTCATGTGTTAAACATTAAGGACAATTTCAAAGCCTGAAGATTTGCAGGCATCAACTGTTAATAGCAGGCAGATATGGAGAAAAAGACAAAGAGTATTCTTTGTAGAAGATGAAAGAATTAAGAAAAATAAATGCTCATCTTTCCTACGCATAAATTCTTTTTACATACTATTAAGCAGATGAATTATATATATATTTACTAACAACTGTAAAACAGCAAAATTAAAGAACAGCAAAGAACACTTCAACTTCAAAAGTTTGATGCTCTTTACTTACCAGACATGTTGGAAAAGGAAAAATTCTACTTAACTGAATTTCATAGATAAATGAAGTCTACATTCTTTTAAGTTTCAAAATTTTGTTTATAATTTTAAATGAAAATCTTTCAAAAATATAAGGCAACTTCCCTTACCATTACAAGGAGGTAATACTAAGCATAACATTAATGAAATCTGACTAACTATTTAATACTTTGAACAGAATGATGCTATAGAGAACTATGCATTCATTGACCAAATATTTAATAATCACTTAAATAAATTACATAGTAAGCCAAAAAATGAAGTAGGTAAGAGGGCTCAGAAACACTGGGTGTGTGGGGGTGGTTAAGCTACACTATTAGATGACCAGTTAGGCTTTATTTAGAAGGTGAGAGTGGAAGGGAGGGAAGGGAGGAAGGGAGGGAGGGAGGGAGGAAGGGAGGAAGGAAGGGAGGGAGGAAGGAAAGGAAGGAAGGAAGGGAGGGAGGGAGGGAGGAAGGAAGGGAGGAAGGGAAGAAGGAAGGGAGGGAGGAAGGGAGGGAGGGAGCATGGGAGGGAGGGAATTAGCAGCAGGACCTCTGCAGGAAAGAATTAGAGCTAAAGCCCTGGGAGGGGAGAGGGTGGAGCACACCTGGCATTTTTGAGAAACAGCAAGCAGGTCAATATGGTGCAATCAAGTAACAATAGGCCAGATCATATAAGGAATATGACTTTTACTCTAAGTTAACTGGGGAGCCACTGAAGGGTTTTGAGCAGAGGAGTGAAATGATCGCTACGGCCACTATGTTGAGAACTGGCTGTAGGGGACAAGGATTGAACCGCAGAGACCAGTTAGATAGTGAACGCAGTAAATCCAGACAGGAAATTATTGGGGCTCACACTAGAGGCAGAGCCGTGCAGCTGAGTGTCTGGTTCTCAATATACGAGCAAACAGGAGTCGCTGTTGGACTGGATGTGTGATGTGAGAGAAACAGAGGAGTCAAGGATGACCACAACGTTTCTGAACTGCGCAATTAGAAAGACAGAGTCGCCATCGCTCAAGCTATGGAAGCCTGAAGATAAAACAGGTTGAGGGTATATTCAGTTGGGGCCATGTTAAGAAACGTGTTTAGGTGTCCAAGTAGAGATATTAAGGAAGCAGTCTGGATTCGGGGCAGAGGTCCAGGTTGAAGACATGTAATTGGAAGTGATGAGCATATAGTTTCTAAAAGCTATCGAACTAGATGATAGATGAGATCATTAAGGGAGGAGATCTATAAAGAGGACCTCGCATTGAACTGGGGCATCTGAGAAGAGGAAGTCGGGAATAAAAGGAGGAACCAGCACAGGAAACTGTGAAGGGGAACCTAATGAGGGTGGAGGAAAATCCAGAGAATGGGGTGTACTGGTAGTCACCTGAAGAAAGTGTTTCAAGGAGACAGTGATCAATTCTACCCGGATTTAGGCAAAGGTCAAGATGACACTGATGAATAATTTTAGTGGAAGAAGAGGACTGAACACGTAACTTCAATCCACAGTGGTGTGGGTTTAAGAGAGAATAGGAGGAAACAGACATAACTTTTTCAAAGAAATCTGCCACACAGGAACAAAGAAATGGGCTAGCTGGCAGGGAAGTGAGATCAAGTGAAGGCTTTTTATGGTGAGAAAAATACCAACATGTTTGTATGTGATGGAAACAATACAGTAGAAAGCAATAAATCATTAATGTCTAAATAAGGGAGGAGAATTGCGAGAGCAACAACCTCGAGTAAGAGAGAAGTGCAATCTACTGAGTTATGTCTGGATGCCAAGATGCCCAGATGATCTTTAATCTGCTTTGGACAACAAAATTAGGTAAACAGGCTGATTAAGAATATAATTAAAAGAGGCTATGAACAATACCAAGAAAAAAATCTATGCATCTTAATGCACAAAGCCTTTTTTTTTTTTTTTTTAAGATTGGCACCTGAGCTAACAACTGCTGTCAATGTTCCTTTTTTTTTTTTCCTGCTTTTTCTCTCAAAATCCCCCTAGGACATAGTTGTATATTTTAGTTGTGGGTCCTTCTAGTTGTGGCATATGGGGCACCGTCTCAGACGAGTGGTGCCATGTCCACGCCCAGGATCTGAACTGGTGAATCCCTGGGCCCCCGAAGCAGAGTGCACAAACTTAACCACTCAGCCCTCGGGCCAGCCCCATACAAAGCCTTGTTATACTTACTCCCAGTGTGGTGGGGGCAACTGGAGATACCACATAAGCAACTTTTGGACATTTGAGACGCTATGATATATCCTCACTCAGATTTTACAAGGCAGACAGTATTATTCTGGATAATTCCCGCTGACTTCCTGAACTAACAATGCACTGACAAGTTTCTAAAGCACATATATTGTATGGCTTAGAAGCCAAGGTTATGAGAGTCGGTTCCCCCATGAACTTTTCACCAGAAAGATGGCCAGTTCTAAGCTGAAAGGCCATGTCTGTAAATTATCATTGTTAGACATCAGAGTATAAACTAGTCTACAGCAGCAGTTCTCGATCCTGACTGTGTATCCACTGAGATTTTAAAAAAATGCTGACAGCAGGGGCCCCACCACAGAACAACTAAACCAGAACCTCTGGGACGGAGGCCAGGCATCAGTATTTTTATTTTTTTACTCCCTAGGAGATTCTGATGTCCAGCCAGATATGTGTTCTAAACAAACAGAAAAAACACCCTAATTTTTGCTACTGGAAAAGAAGAGAAGCAGACTCTGAAATTATTTTATTATTGCTTTTCTATTAATCAAGCTGATACAAAGGACACAGCAAAAGCAAAAAGCCCACTTCAGAATTCTAATTCTAGCGAAAACAGCAAATGAGATGCTTCATCTTACTAGCAAACTCCAGAACAGCTGCTAAAATAAAATTAAAATATAACAATTCACTTACTATTTCTAAAGTATGAGTATTCAGTAAAACGACAGGAAATTCAATTATTTCATGTATGAACTCAGGTGGGTTACCCTCTTCACAGGTGGCTTCAAAGTCAATAATACAAATGTAGTCATAGTAACTGTCGGCAGCATTGCTCTCTTTTAACATCAGCTTCTGCTTCTTATAATAGTTTTTCAGCCTCTTCTTTAGTACATCCTTTACTCCCCTAAAAAAATAAGAATAAAATGAACTCTTAGGTGAATCTTACACTCAAGAACCTGAACTCTTACCTGCTGGCACTGGATTGAACACAGTTACAGCATAATTTAGCAAACGTTAGCTAAAATAAATGTAAAGAAAGCAAGACTCAAAGTTAAGTTGGCAAAGAACTAATTAAAATGTTTAATAGAGCATCAATATTTTCCTTTGCAACTAACTTCATTTTTATACTACATAAGAGCATTTTCTCTAATATATACTGGTTCTACAAACCATAAGCCTTGTCAGCATAGACCACCTACAACGCCACACTGCCTTATATACTAAGATGACATACATGATACAAGAACTGAAATTAATATTGCATTATTCTACTGGCCAAATATAAATTTCAGAGTATGAAAATCCAGTTGAATTGAACATATTGTGCTATCTCTTTCCTTTCTTTTGGCTTTTATGGGTTAGACAACTAAAAAAAATCCATCCAAATATGAAAGCACTATGAACCCAGTATACAAAGTTGAACATGTTAGCTATTTAACTAGAAAAACTAATTTAGAAGATATGTAGAGTAAACCGTGTCCAGGAGAACACGTCCTATTCAGTAGGTTCTTAACTGGAAGTAGATTTCTTAACTCACCATGGACAGAACAGGATGTAGGAGATTTTAGTATCGTGAGTATTTTTGAAATATATGTCCCACAAACAGTGGGGTGGGGAAAGGGTTGTTCTAACAGATAACAACGGTTGCAGTGGTGGTCACGTTCTTCAAACCATACGTATTTCTTCAAAAAATTAAAAGTCACGACCAATGCTCAGACTTCCTTCAGCATTACTTGGTTGGGTCCGGTAATGGCTTGCAAATATAAAATGGCAGTAAAAATAAGAGGATCTAAATTGCAATTCATGTGTAGTGACAAGTAAGGCATTTTGGTCACATCACCGATGAGTGACTATTTAAAAAAATTGCTTTAACCTTTTGTTTTCCTTTCTACACTACCACTGACAAGCAATTCTACCCATGAAAATACTGATAATTAACCCGTTAGCTGTTTTAAGACAAAGTGTCTTAATGTGTTTATTTGCTTGAGATTTTTCCAAATTACCAACACCTAGGAAAGAAACCCCTTAACCCTTTCATATTAAGGTACTGTGAGTGACCCTTGTGTCATGTGACAGCTTTGGATGACTTTGTCTCAATTTCTCTTTTCTTTCTCTCTTTCTTTTTTGGAGGAACCATACTTTACTAAAGGGTTGCCTGCAAACCTAAGGGCAACACAAACATATAATCAGTTGCTCCAGAGAGAAACTTACATCTTAAACAGTTCTCTTGCCCCTCCACATCCAAATAATCACCATTTTTGCTAATTCCAACTCAGAAAAACATGCAGAATCTGGTTCCCCTTTATTCTCTCTGGTATGGCTCCCATTAGCTTCTTGGACTACAGCAAATGCCTCCATCATCACAACCCTCCTGTCCCCTCTTTACCCTACTTGAGAACTAAGCCCCAAGGCCAATTTCCTGCTGAAATACCTTCAGTGGCTCCCTTCAGTTCACAAGGTAAAATGCAGACTTTAGCATGGAGTTCCTTCACAATTTGACTACGACCCATCATTTCAGTGTCACCTTCAGATGCTCCCCTCCCCACAGTACATCGCATATGACAGACAAAACATACCACAAGTCATTGCCTGCCTATGCGGTGCGCTTTCATCACGTTCTATAACTCTGCTTGTACAACAGCTGAAGAAAAACAAAGATCACGCAGCAGAAAACATACAAACAGAAATTAGGAGTTCTGAGTCCTTTTTGCCTGAAACACCCCCCTCCCCTTTCTGTTTGGCACATCCATTCGAATGTCACCCTTGAATTCCTGAGACAGACTCTCTTCTGTGTTCTCATGTTGTATTTGGCCAGGCCTTCAATGTGGCACTGGTCACTCTGTATTGTGATTACCAGTGTGTTTTTCCAAAAGACGGTGAGCTTTCCACAGCAGGGAATAGATCTGTTTCACCTTTATAACATCAATGCCCAGTATAGCGCTTAGAATTCAGTCAGTGCTTGTTGAATAAATGAATAGACATACATCTAGATCTCTAGCTCCCATGCAAGTCAGAGTGAGCAACTGATCTTCACACCTGGGAAGGACCGAAATTTTGCTCAGAAAATCTTCCACAGGCTACAGATTATATCTTCATAATAGAAAGAGTCAGGGGGAAATGAGGCAAAAATATTCTTCACGAATTATGATGCAGACAATCTGGAAGGGAAAAGAATATATGTGTGCTCTTTTGAAAAGGAGCGAAGCTCTATTTTAAAGCAAAGAGGGGGAATACTGCTTATAAGAGAGTAAGGATTCAGGGGCACCCAGAAACAAGAACAGTTTTCATCTATTACATGTAGTTAATTTTTTTCTTGATGCCTGGCAGTTCCATTGTCTATCAAAAATCTCTACGTTTTTCTGGATTCTAAAGGCCATTCCTGCCCCATGCCCCAAGTCAAAATAGTGATTTGTTTTGGAAAAAGTTATTAAAAACTTAAGTATGTGTACATCTCATTAAAATACACATACACACACACAAATAGAGTTGGCTAAGCTGCACTGTTTTCTCATTCAATTTACAGTTAAACATAATGTATACTATCATTCTGCATATTTGTAGAAACTAAAATAGGAAAAAAATATTTTACAGTAGGTGAATGACTTTCTTAAATTGCCTGATTTCAAAGAAACTCTCTTTATAAAAATAATACAAATGGACAAAAGGAAAATATTCGATCTCACTAATAAAACAAGATACAATAATCCATCAACCAAATGAACTAAAAAAATTTAAAACATACTTGGCATAGAAAGACAGATACTCCTAACCACTGCTGGTAGATTGTCAAAATATTCATAGACTTTGACTCAGCAATCCTAGCCTATCACCTAAAAGACGGACAGAAGCAATCAGAGCTGCACACAAAGATTCACGTACAAGAATGTAAATTAGCTGTTACGTAAATTGTTAATAATGGTTACCTTTTTATGTAGGATTACAGATGACTTAAATTTTCAGCGTTTTCACTAGGATGAGCATGTACTACTTTTATAATTTTAAAAAGTGATTTTTAATTACCTGGTTTCTAGCTTGAATTCTGAAAGTTTAGCTCTGAGCTCTTCCTTGCTCATTCTATTAATGCAACCATTCGTAATAGCAATCTCTTTGTAAACTGGGTCACTGAAATCACTTGAATTTGAGGTAATGAACTTAGATCCTTTTGTTTCTTGGCCATCAAATCTACATCGTTGCTTTTTCTACAAAAGAAAAAAAGGGATAGCTTATAATTAGTATAAACATCTTGAAGGTTCGAACTCCTGAGGTCTCTTTGTGCTACATGTTCAACCAAAAGTACCTACTGCAGCTAGCGGAGGGAGGGCAGGATAGGAAGAAGAATGTGTTTCTAACACAATTTACCGGGCTCTCTTCTGAGTCATGAGGGTCCTTACAGGCAAGCTAAGTAAAAAGAGCACTGGCTGCTGGGGTCAGAGCCACCTCAGCACAGAGCCCCAGCCAACCATTAGCTAGCAGCATGACCGTGCATAGTTACTTATTAGCCTCTGATCTTCAGTTTCCTTATCTATAAAATAGGGCATAATAATAATAGTCTTAAGTGGCAGTTGGTGTTTGGTAATGATAAACAGTATTTAGGCAAGATTATTATAAGGATTAAATGAGATTCTGTATAACAAGGCTCCTAATACCATAGCCACAGTGGCTATTAACAGATGGCAACTTATTAGCAACACAGACTGCAGAACAAACCTTTTCACAGACAATACTCTAAAATTTACAAACGAACCAATTTTTAAGTTAATCTTCGCAACATTACGCGTGTATAACTCAGTAACTTTCTGAGAATTTTTTAACCTTTCATTTCACAAAGTGAACAGAAATTCCCCAATATAAAAACAAAATGAACTAGAAATGCAGTTCAAAACTTCCTAGTACCCAAGGTAAAACACATAATTTCCAAAAGTTACAGCTACACCAGTTGCTCAGGAAAATACAGTTACTGTATTATAAACCTTTTCTCTTTTCTTAAACCAAAAATCCGTGTTAAGAAAAAACATGACTCAATTTCATCACTCCACAGGTAGTCCCTGAAATTACTAATATGGTATGTTTCAAAGATTCATTTAAAAGTTAATTATTTTCCACATGCAATGTTACAAACATTAGGTGTTCCAGAATTTTCAAAAACACATTGGTACTTTCTATTAACCCATTTAAAGCTTGTTAAGTTAGCCATAATTGACCACATTATCCCCCTGTGAACAGATTAAGGAGCGGTAACCATTGACAGGCCACAGTCCCTGGCTTAGGACTGATCCTGATGGTTCAGGGACTGTTTCTCACTCTAAACTCTCAATTTAATGCAACACACATTTACTGGAAATGCAATGCTAGGTACCGTGCTCGAGTACTCAAGAACTGCTCGCTCCCACCCCCGCTGAGGAAGACGTCAACAGTTCCAACACGTGAACTGCGCATTAAGTGAAGAATAACTATACTCAAGTTCCTTGCTGACAAACAGCTAAAAGACTTTACTACACTGATCTTTGACTAAAGCTAAGAAAACAATCAGCTTTCAATAATACAATAAATTGACAATACCAGCGTACTTTATCATTAGAATTTAATCAGCATAATTTATCCTTTGTTTTTAAACTTACACTGAATTTTAAACTTCATCTGCAGTCAGCTTAAAATATAGGTCAACACTGAGTAACATCCTGTCTACCAAAACTGTTGTCTCAGTGAATTTAACCAAGTTTTCTCGACGCTAAATCCTCTGTCTGATTCACTTGCTTAATCCTTATCTAAAACTGTAGCTACAAACATTACCCACAAGTAACACTCAGGCCTCTTCTAGCATGTTATAAAGCAGGATTTCTGTAAAGATCTGCTTCCTCTTCTCGGTCTAACTCCAGCCCTGTTCCTCCAGTGAAGTTCAGGGCACAGCCAGGGTCCAGGTCTCAGCGATCAATTCGTATTTCCTCTCAAATGTCAGGTCTACACTAATGGTGTCCAAAGAAAGATGCTTACTTAAGCCAAGTGCTAAGGAGCAGAAAGAAAATATTAAAAACCCTACAACGTATTGTTAATCTACAAAAACAAAATTAGTTTACTAAATAATACATACATTGACAATGGCATCCTCCCCAATTCTATGCCCATCTGTCACATGTCACATACAGTACTGGCCATACAATGAGAAAGTGGAACAGACTCCACAGCACAGAGAGGAATATCCACCTTCTCAGTACTGTGGGATTTCGCAATTTTCATGTGTCCAAGTAAGTGGTTGTACGGTTTATATTATCCCAAATAAGAGAATCTGTACATTAGGGAGCGTGACCATGAAACTCTTTAATACCAAACAGAGGCTTACCAACTATATTGTGAAGTACTTAAGTGTTGTTGAACATAAATATGAGTTACACATTTTCTTTTACAAAAAGATAGAGGTATTCCAAAATTGTCATTTTCTGTGATGAAAAAAGGATAGCTTGATCCTTAGAGTTGTTTTTTTTAACAAACACAATTTGTTGTTTCAAGATGAAATATGTTTTAACAATAAGTTAGATAGTAACTGCTTATCAAAAGAAACTTTTTCTGTGGCAAAAGAAAATAGAAGTTATTTTATTGTCCACAAAAAACTGCATCATCTATTAAAAAAAAACAACTCTGCATCTGCACACTAAGAAACAAAACTTAGATGCAGAATTTAACTTGATTAAAATTCTTCCAAAGGAAGAATTCTGATAAAATTTGAAGATATATGTTAAAAATATAAAAATGCAACATTTATTAGTTTACAAAATAATCGACATTAGGGATAATACAAATTCAGTTAGCCGACTTCCAACAAAAAACTCTGCTTAATTGAGGTTTTTTTAAAAACCTCTATCATTGATTAAGAGCATCCAACAATAGGTTTTTAACAAATATGACAGTCACTAAAACCAATTCGGAACATAGACCCAGGCTTTAAGTCATTATATCTCAAAGCTTCAAGACTTTCAAATATAATGAAGCATACTCAATCACACGTCTCTTATTAAAAAGAAACTTGAAAAATTATTTTTAAAGTGACTTACACGACGATGTTACACGATGAGATACTCACACACTGAGTACCTCAGACTGAAGAGGGAGACGCGGCGGAAGAGCGGTTCTTTAAAGAGGAGGGATGTGGAAGGCCTCTTTGAAAAGCAATACCTTAAGGAGAACGAGATAACTATGCAAAGACCCAGAGGAAGAGCATGCAGCACCAAGGCAGCATACAAAGACCCCAAAGAGAAAGACTTTCCACCATTAAAGGTGGCAAGGAAGCCAGGCGCAGAGGGAGCAATAGGGAAGCACTGTGCGCGATGCAGTTAGCGATGCAGGCGGCGGCCAGGTCGTGCGGGGCAGCACGCTGGAGACGAAGGAGTAACCCGGACAGATTGATGTTATGAAAGGACCATCCCAGCTGCTGTGCGAAGAACCGGCTGCAGGAGGAGGAGCAAGAGCTAGGCAGCCAAGTACCCACTCTAGGAGGGGCTCAACATTTGTTTGATATTAATAATAATAATAATAAAACACCAATATTGGTATCAGATTATTTACAATCCGCAGCGCTGGTCAAAATAACTATATTCGTTAACTAAGATGAGTAAACAAGTTTTAAGCGCGTTTTTACAATTTTGCCTCTGTAACTAGGAACTACCAGAGAACTGTCAAAATCATTAAGAAAATCAGTCATACACTATGTCTATGTGAGATAGCAGTAAATGGGCAAAAATCAAGGACCAAGCTCCAACTAAGAGGCACAACCACCTTCTGCTAAGGCTGGAATGAGACAGGCTTAAAGATCATAAAAAGTGACATACCTGCAGCATACGATGCGATTTGTTTAAAAATAGCCTACCAATTACCTACAAAGACTAGACAGAACGACCGCAGCGACACCACGCACGGAATGTTTACAGCAGGATTCCCACTCAGAACTCAGAAAACCACAGTCTCGACTGTTCACGCTCATCCAGGAAGTAATCCCGACCACAGGGGCTCAATGACAACCACCCCGAGGCACGGTCCCGGAGCTGGGGACAGGGACGGCGGCCGGGGCTGGGCTCCGAGGCGCGCGGGCGGCGCTTCCCGCGGGCCACCCGAGAAGCAGGGGGCGCGGGCGGGCTCTCACCTCGGCGTTCGGCGGCCGCGGCTCCTCCCCACGCTCCGGCCGCGGCTCCTCCTGCCGCGCGGGGGCCACGGCCTCGCCGCCGGGCTCTTTGCTCTGCTCGTCCTCCATGCCGCGGGTCTCGGAAGAAGCGAGCCGCCGGCGCCCGGCCCGCGCGCCCTCTCACCGGCCAAGTCCGAACGCCGCGCCGTTCTCCGTTGAAAAATTACCGGGCTCGCGTTCCCGCGGCGGCGGCCACACAAACTCGAGCGGACACCTCCCACTTCCGGGAGCGTGCGGCGTCCCCACGCCGCGCAGGCGCAGTGGGCTGGCGCGAGCGCATCGGCCGCCGGGGAGGGAGAATGAAAGGCGGGAGCGCGCGGGAGGCGGGAGACGCGAGGTGGCGAGGGCTCAGAGGTCCCCGCGCGCGCAGGCCGGGGGTCCTGTGGAGGGTGCGCAAGAGGCTAGCTTCGAGTCCCTTGGGGCACTACCGGAGTAAACGATCCCACCCACGGTTCCTGAGAAGAAAAACGAGGGGGACCCTATAGGAATTTAAACCATAGCAAATATTTAGAAAACAGCGTACATTTCCCATAAGAAGTGCAAGACATCCGCTTCTGGACAAGACGAGGAAATGGGTCTGGACTTAGTAGAACACTGAACTAGATACGTGAACCGACTGTTTTGAAACCCTGGACAACAGGCAGTTCTGAACTGTTAGACCTGGGAGAAAAAAAACGAATGAGAGGAGCTGTGCATCACCCTGGCTTTCTGCCTAGAGGCCTGATCAGCAAATGGCAAGCAGTAGGATATTGGAGTATACGAGGAAGCCCGTTTGGTGTAAAACTAAGTCCTCCTGACCTTGTATTTTCCAAAGGGGCCTGACGTGGCCACTCAGCATGCACTGTATAGCTGCTTTAAGCATTTGCTGTGTCTCAAAGACAAGAACAAATACCCTTAAGATAAAGGTGCAACTTCTCCCACATTGGCATTTCCTTACCGGTGAGCATCTCTCTGTGGGCTAGGAACTGATTGCTACACTCACCCTGTGACCCAGCTCGAGAGAACTGACCTGCTGCCTGGTGGGTCCATCAATCGCTGTGCCAACAGGGCAATCTCGTGACTGTTGTAAAAGGGACATTCCAATCATATGTGATACATGCTCTTTGTATATTCCTTGACTCTGTACTCCCCCACTTCTTTGGAGTGCTCCATTCCTTTGTGGAAGGACTCTCCCAGGCTATATTGTTCTCAAATCTGGCTCATAATAAACTCATCCCAAGTTTGATTTATAGATTTGTGATGGATTATTTGCGTCAACAGGCCGTTTCCAGTTAGAGGTGCAGGGAAGGGGCACTCAGAGACCCAGGTCTCCCTGACAAGACAGAGGTCTCACTGAAGGGAGAAGATGGGGATTGGGGTTTAGAAGATTTGGGGAGGCCAGGTGGGTTGGAATTTGTGGAGTGGCGTTCACAGACAAACAGCTTTAGAAATCTGCAGAGGAGTGTTCTTGAATCTTTAGCTGAATAAAAATCAGTGAACATGTCATGTGAAACTCCAGAGGGCCAGGAAAGAACAATTATTGGGGAACCATAAACCCAACAATTCTGAGAGCTCACACAGGACCAGGAATCATTTGACTTCGCCGCAGCCGGAGTGGAGAGACTTTGTTGAATACCTGAAATACGCGGTAGAGATCCCAGAGGTGTCACACCTTGGTACGTAGGTAGACTAGCCCTGGCCTCTAGGGTCTAGAGTAAAAGATATTGTAGACCCTTCGGAGAATTTAAAACAAACTCTCAAAAGAGCAGACTGTAAGTAACCTGTCTGCCAGAACAAAGTTTAATTCTCTCTAAAACACTACAGTAAAATCCAAGACAACAACATGAAACTCAAAATATCAGACATCCAGTCAAAAATACATGCCAGGAAGTAGGGAAATATATCATAGAGTCAGTCAATTGAAACGTGTCCAGAAATGATGAAAATGATGTCATTAACACATAAAGACTTTAAACACCTATTATAAACGTGCACAGGGCCAGCCCTGTTGCCTAGTGGTTGTTTACCATGCTCCTATTCAGCAGCATGAGTTTGGGTCCTGGGTGCAGTCCCATACCACTCCTCAGCAGCCATGCTGTGATGGTGACCCACATGCAGAATAGAGGACAAGTGGCACAGATGTTAGCTCAGGGAAAATCTTCCTCAAGCAAAAACAAGTGCTCCATATGCTCAAGGATTTAAAGGAAAAAATAACAGGAAAGAAACTGAAGAGATTTAAAAAAAAAAATCAGCAAATAGAATTTCTGGAGATGAAAAATGTAATATCTGAAATTTTAAAAAATATCTAAGAGGGGTGGATAATACATTAGGCCCTGCAGGGGAAAAAAAAAGTAATGACTTTGAAGACATAGCAATAGAAACAATCCAAAATGATGCACACAGAGAAAATTGACTGGAAAAAAATGAACGGAGCCTCATGACAATACAAAGAGGCCTGATCTATATGTAATTGCAGCCTCAGAAAGGGAACGGAGGTGGAGAAAAAAATATTTGAAGAAATAATGGACAAAAATGGTCCAAAGTTGATGAAACCTATAAACCACAGATCTGAGAAGGTCAAAAAAGTCCAAGTAAGATAAACATACAGAAAACTACACCAAGGCATATCATAATCACATTGGTGGAAAACAGTGATGAAGAAAAAATCTTAAAAACAGCTAGAGAAAAAAGATTCATTATATACAAAGGAACAAAAAGAATTTTCGTAGGGGGCCAGCCCTGTCGCCTAGTGGTTAAGTTTGTGCACTCTGCTTCGGCAGCCTGGGGTTTGCCAGTTTGGATCCTGGGTGCAGACTTACATACCACTCATAAAGCCATGCTGTGCTGGCATCCCACACAGAAGAATTAGAATGACTTACAATTAGGATATACAACTATGGACTGGGGCTTGGGGGAGAAAAAAAAAAG